GCTCTATCTTTTTCTCTGTTGGGTTCATTGTGCACAGTTTGTGTGTCAGCTATAAATTCACATTGAGCTCAAGCACCAATATGTAGTATGGAGGGAGTAAGTCCGAATCCTGGTCAAATGAATAAAAAAAGAGGAGATGTAGCAGCTGTCCGGAATTGCAAGGCTTCAAAAAGGTACCCACCTATTGAGCCTTGTTTGCAGGTGAATAAGGCTTGGTAGCAGACGGTCCGCATCTGCTTTCAGTGGGGCGGTGGAAAATCATACAATGCAGACCCCGCCTGTTCAACTCAGGCCTGAGTCATTCGATGTCCTGTATTTTTTCCTTTTCCCCTCTTTCCCTTTTGAATATCAATCTCATCCAGCCAGCATTGAGTAACTTCAAGCCATATAAATTGCACCTCCATTCAAGAGACAGGCGAGGAGAAATGCAACAGCAGGGCTTTTAAAAAGGTACCCACCTATTGAACCTTGTTTGCAGGTCAACAAGGCTCGGTAGCGGACGGTCCGCATCTACTTCCCTTTGGTGGCGAAATCTGTAATGCAGACCCCGCCTGTTCGACTCAGGCCCGAGCCATAGCATCTGAGCGCTCGATTTTTTTTTTCTGATTGAGTTCACTGTGCGGAGTGTCAGCCATAAATTCACCTCGAGCTCAAACACCAATATGTAGAGTAGTATGGAGAAAGCAAGTCCGAGTCCCCGCTCGAATAAATAAAAAAGAGAAAATTTACCAGCTGTCCGGAAATGCAAGACTTTAAAACCTCACCCACCTACCCAACCTCCAACATAGGCCAATAAGCCTCAGTAGTGGATGGTTCCACATCTGCTTCCCTTTTGGTTATAACCAAAATGTAATGCAGACCCACCTGTTCGACTCAGGCCTGAGCCATGTGTGTTGAGTCAGATAATTTTTTCCCTCTTCTCCATCATCTGTATCTCTCAGGTGCCCCATGTATAAATACATATGTGCATAGATATATCTTGCCTGCTGCCTATACATTCCAACTTGACTGTAAATGCACATTACATGAATGAAAACTCAAAAAGACAGAAAAACCGAAACAGCCTCAGCACTCTTCCACCTATTGAACCCCCAACACAAGCCAATAAGGCTCGGTAGCGGATGGTCCGCATCTGCTTCACCTGACGGTGTTTTGCAAATTAGTGCAGACCCCGTCTGTTCGACTCAGGCCTGAGCCATGTATATTGGGTGAGATAATTTTTTCCTCTTCTTCATCATCTGTATCTCTTAAGCACTCCATACATGAATACATACATGTACATATCTTGCCGACTGCACCTACAATTCCAATTTCACTGTACCTGCACCTTGCATGAAAGAAAGCAGGAAAAAACAACCTCAGGACTACCTATCCACCCTCCTCCCCAGCCCAACAAGGCTCGGTGGTGGATGGTCCACTTCTGCTCTCCTTTCGCAAAGGATACAGTCACATGTAATGCAGACCCTGCCTGTTCGACTCAGGCCTGAGCCATATATATAGTTGCACATGGCATCATTTTTCTCACATATGATTCATCCTGTCCCTCGCTTCTTGAGCAACACCATCAATCTTGTTGCAGCACATAATTATGAAGAAACAAATGGAAGGAAACAAAGAGCAAGAACAGAATTCATTTCATCATCTGATACACAATAATGAGGATGAGGAGAAGACTTGCCCATCTATCCAACATCCTCTGCAGGTTAATAAGGCTTGGTAGCGGACGGTCCACATCTGTTTCCCTTTTGCAAGAGGTCCAGTAGCATGTAATGCAGACCCCGCCTGTTCGACTCAGGCCTGAGCCATGATTGCTGAGGGCTCAATCTTTTTTTCTGGTTGGGTTCATTGTGCACAGTTTGTATGTCAACTATAAATTCACCTCGAGCTCAAGCACCAATATGTAGTATGGAGGAAGCAGGTCCGAATCCTGGTCAAATGAATTTAAAAAAAGAGGAGATGTAATAGCTGTACGGAATTGCAGGGCTTTAAAAAGTTGCCCACCTATCCAACCTCCAACACAAGCCAACAAGGCTCGGTAGTGGATGGCCCGCATTTGCTTTCCTTGGGTCAGCAAAATCACGAAACATGTAATGTGGACACTGCCTGTTCGACTCAAGCCTGAGCCGTGTATCATTCATGACAATATGTTTTTCCCCTTCTTCATCATCTGTATCTCTTAGGTGCCCCATGTATAAATACATATGTGCGTAGATATATCTTGCCTACTGTACGTGCACATTCTAATTTTGCTGTAAATGCACATTGCATGAACGAAAACTCAGAAAGACTGAAAGACTGAAAAGAAAAAAGCCTCAGCACTCTTCCACCTATTAAACCCCCAACACAGGGCAATAAGGCTCGGTGGTGGACGGTCCACTTCTACTCCCTTTTCTTTCGAAGCAGCGTGACATGTAATGCAGACCCCGCCTGTTCGACTCAGGCCCAAGCCATAACTCTGGACGCTTCAATATCTTTTTTTTCTGATTCGGTTCATCGTGCAGTTTGTGAGGATGTCAGGCATAAATTCACCTCGAGCTCAACATCAATATGTAGTACAGATACTGTAAAGCAAATTCGAATCCCTGCTCAAATAAAATAAAATGATTCAGAGTAACAGCTCTGCAGAATCGTAGTGCTTCAGAAACTCACCCATCTATTGAACCTCCAACACAGGCCAACAAGGCTCGGTAGCGGATGATCCGCATCTGCTTTAGATCCGTGGTGAAGACAAGAGTAATGCAGACCCCGCCTGTTCGACTCAGGCCCGAGCCATGTACTGGCGCACACTATTTCTTCTCTCTGTAAAACATATCACTCATCCGTTCACCAGCAAACAACACCAAATTCATTGCCGCCCTTCAAGAGTACAATATTATGCAGAAACTGATGAGATGAAGTAAAAGGCAAACACCGGGAAGCCAGAATTCATTTCATCATCTGATACACAATGAGGATGAAAAAAAACTTGCCTACCTATCCAGCCTCCTTCCCAGATCAACAAGGCTCGGTGGTGGACAGTTCCACATCTGCATTCCTTGGGTTCAACAGATAGTCAATGTAATGCAGACCCCGCCTGTTCGACTCAGGCCTGAGCCATTCGATGTCCTGTATTTTTTCCTTTTCCCCTCTTTCCCCTTTGAATATAATTCTTAATCAGATAACATTAAGCAACTTCAAGCCTACGAATTACACCTCCGCTCAAAAGAAAGGTGAGAATAAATGCAACAGCTCTGCAGCATTCAGGGCTTTAAAAACTCACCCATCCATTTAGAGTCCTTCGCAGATCAATAAGGCTCAGTGGTGGACGGTCCGCATCTGCTTCAGCTGTCTGTCCCAAGAAATATGTAATGTAGACCCCGCCTGTTCGACTCAGGCCCGAGCCATAGTCATTCGAGAACAGAATTTTTTCCTCTTCTTCATCATCTGTATCTCAAGCCCTCTGGACAAAAATAGATACATATACATATCCTGCACATTTCAATTTTACTCTAAAAGCACATTACGAGTATGGAAACTCAGAAGGACAGCCTCAGTACTCTTCCACCTATTGAACATGCAGGTCAATAAGGCTTGGTAGTAGACAGTCCACTTCTGCTTTCCTTTCCATGGGCAGATACAAAATGTAATGCAGACCCCCGCCTGTTCGACTCAGGCCTGAGCCATGCACTGTTCAGAGCAGCATAATTTTTTCTTCTTCATCACCATCTGCATCTCTCAAGCGCAAGCATGCATACATAGATACATGTGCGTATCTTGCCTACTGCACCACACATTCTAATTTGATTGTAAATGCACATAAACTCAGAAGGAAAGAAAGAAAGAAAGAAAACAGCCTCAGCACTCTTCCATCCATTGAGCTCCCAACACAGGCCAATAAGGCTTGGTAGCGGACAGTCCACTTCTGCTCCCCTTTTGTAAGAGATAAGTAGCATGTAATGCAGCCCCGCCTGTTCGACTCAGGCCCGAGCCATAACTCTTGACGCTTCCATATCTTTTTTTTCTGATTTGGTTCATCGTGCAGTTTGTCAGCATGTGAGGCATAAATTCACCTCAGGCTCAAACACCAATATGTAGTACGGATACTGTAAAGCAAATTCGAATCCCTGCTCAAATAAAATAAAATGGTTCAGAGTAACAGCTCTGCAGAACTGTAGTGCTTCAAAAACTCACCTATCTATTGAACCTTGTTCGCAGGTCAACAAGGCTCGGTGGTGGATGGCTCCACATCTGCTTCAGCTAACTCGTCCTTCGCTTGAATAATGCAGACCCCCCCTGCCAGTGTTCGACTCAGGCCCGAGCGATATATAATTTGTGCATATCATTTTTTCTTACATATGATTCATCCTGTCCCTTGCTTCTTGAGCAACAGCATCAATCTTGTTGCAACCCACCCCGATGAGTACAAATGGTTAATTATGAAGAAACTAATGAAGGGAAACAAAGAGCAAGAACAGAATTCATTTCATGATCTGATACACAATAATGAGGATGAGGAGAAGACTTGCCCACTTATCTAACTTCCTCCACAAGCCAATAAGGCTCGGTAGTGGATGTTCCGCATCTGCTTCACCTGGATTGTGCGTAAATAAAGTTAATGCAGACCTCGCCTGTTTGACTCAGGCCTGAGCCATGTGTCGTCCCGAGGTTGGTTTTTTTTTTACTCTAATGGATAAATTCATTCAATATTGAGCTCAAAATCAATGTGGAGGCAGACAGGTAGGAAATTGAAATGAGACACATGAGAATAAAAGATGAGAATAAATGTAACAGCCACTGCAATTGCAGGGCTTGAAAACCTCACCCACCTATCCAACCTCCAACATAGGCCAATAAACCTTAGTAGTGGATGGTTCCACATCCGCTTCCCTTTCGGTTACAACCAAAGAAGAAACTGATGAAGGAAACAAAGAGCAAGAACAGAATTCATTTCATCATCTGATACACAATGAGGATGGGGAGAAGACTTGCCCACCTAGACAACCTTCAACATAGGCCAGTAAGGCTCGGTAGCGGATGTTCCGCATCTGCTTTGAATCCGCGGTGAAGACAAGAGTAATGCAGACCCCGCCTGTTCAACTCAGGCCTGAGCCGTTGTTCTTCAGAGTGATATAATTTTTGCTCTTCTCCATCATCTGTATCTCTCAGGTGTAGGGAATGACACGGGTGATACCGCGGGTGTCACGGCGTCACACCGTACCCGTGACCCGTGATACCGTACCCGTTTTCCCACGGGTACGGTATTACGGGTGTGAACCCGCGGTATTTACATAAAGACCCGCGGTTCAATTACCGCGGTATTTAACTGTGGTATTTGACTTCTTCTATTCATTTCACACCAAGGGAACATGCAAGAGGTAACACTGATCATGGAAAACTATCCAGACATGCACAAGAAGGTGAAGTACTTTGTTTTAAACTGGAGAAACAGTGGAGAAACATTGGTGCTTTTAACCATGTGATCAGAAAATGATTTCCAGGTGAAAAACTTGTTGTTAGTTGCTAGTATTCACAATCTGAGTAGTATGGGAGTTATAGATCCTGAGTCAGCTACTGACACCATGGAGATGACCTCTCAGACTTTATTTTGTGTCATTGTTATGAAAAAAAACTGGTTTTTCTCTGAATATAATGTACTGTAGCTGCATTTGGGCTTGCAATTGGTGTTCACTGTGGTCTACTACTAGGCCCATACCTCTCAAAATTTTCCTAGATTTATGGGTGCTGTAGTGGTGGAGAATAGGTCAAATCAACCATTGTTTTTCAGTGTTTACCTGTCATCCCAAAAAGGAATCTTGTGGTTCAACTCACCGAGTTTACTTCCACAAGTCAGAAATGTTGTTTGGCATGGTGCTTTAGCTCAACTGTAAGTCCTCTTCTCTCGAATCTCACATGAATCCAATAGATCCTGGGTTCAAATCTCTCAGGAGGCCTTTTTGAGGGCTGCGGGTCCAGTACCGCGGTATTACGGGTACGGTAACGCCGCGGGTCGCGGTATTCACGGTGTTCAGAAAACCGGCTACTGCACCCGCACCCGTGACACCCGTACCCGTAACACCGCGGGTTTTCCCAAACCTGTGTTATACATTACTCAGGTGCCCCATGTATAAATACATATGTGCATAGATATATCTTGCCTACTGTACCACATATTCCAATTTCACTGTACCTGCACAACACATGAATGAAAACTCGGAAAGACAGAAAATCAGCCTCAGTACTTCAAAAAAAGTCACATCCATTGAACCTTGTTGACAGGACAATAATGCTCAGTAGTGGATGATCCACTTCTGCTCTAGCATGTAATGCAGACCCCGCCCGTTCGACTCAGGCCTGAGCCATTGGCAGATCGTTCAAGAGCTTTTTCTTTGTTATTACAGTAACTTTTTTTCACACTCACAATGTCACATTAAGCCTATGCAAGTGTCACCTGGATGAAGTAAGTATGAATCCTAGCTCAAATAGATAAAAAAAGAGGAGATGTAACAGCTCTGCAGCATTCAGAACTCTGAAAACTCTCCCACCTATTGAACCTCCAACACAGGGCAACAAGGCTCGATAGCGGATGGTCCGCATCTGCTTTCACTTGACCCTCTCGAAACATAGAGTAATGCAGACCTTGCCTGTTCGACTCAGGCCTGAGCCATTGGCAGATTATTCAAAAGGTTTTTTTTTGTTATTACAGTAACTTTTTTTCTCACAATGTCACATTAAGCCTACAGTACATGCAACCTGGATGACGTGAGTCTGAATCCCGCTCAAATAAATAAAAAAAGAGGAAGTGTAACAGCTCTACGGAATTGCAGGGCTTCAAAAACTCTTCCACCTATTCAACCTCCCTCACAGGCCAACAAGACTTGGTAGTGGTCGGTTCCACATCTGCTTCAGCTAAAACTGGCCGTTCAGACAGGTAATGCAGACCCTGCCTGTTCGACTCAGGCCTGAGCCATTCTGCATCCCGGATTTTTTCTTTTTCCCTGCTCCTCTTTCCCCTGTGAATATCAATCTCATCCAACCAGCTATCAAGGAACTTCAAGCCTATAAACTACACCTCCACTCAAAGACAGGTGGTGAAAAATGCAACAGCCACTGCACAATTGCAACCTCCCGCACAGGGCAATAAGGCTTGGTAGTAGATAGTTCACATCTGGTCCCCTTTCGCAAAAGATGCAGAAACATGTAATGCAGACCCCGCCTGTTCAACTCAGGCCCGAGCTATGTGCTGTCCAGAGCGACATAATTTTTTCCTCTTCTCCCTCATCTGTATCTCCCAAGCGCTCCGTACATGCATACATACATATCCTGCCTACTGTACCTGCACATTCCAATTTTACTCTAAACACACATTACATGAATGAAAACTCAGAAAGAAAGAAAATCAGTCTTAGTACCCTTCCGGAACTTGAAGTTCCACCTATTGAACATCCTTCACAGGCCAACAAGGCTCGGTAGTGGATGGTTCCACATCTGCTTTCCTTGGGTTCAACAGATAGACAATGTAATGCAGACCCCACCTGTTCGACTCAGGCCTAAGCAATTGGCGTGTTTGCATTATCTTTTCCCCTTCTCCTCTTTCCCTTTTGAATATCAACTTGATGCAGCCGGCTATCAAGTAACTTCAAGCCTACAAATTACACCCCTCCGCTCAAAAGACAGTGAGGAGAAATGCAACGGTGGCAGCCACTGCACAATTGCAGGGTTTCAAAAGATACCCACCTATGCAACCTCCCGCACAGGGCAATAAGGCTTGGTGGTGGACGGTCCACTTCTGCTCCCCTTTGGTCGGAAATAGACAGACATGTAATGCAGACCCCGCCTGTTCAACTCAGGCCTGAGCCATTCTGCCTCCTGAATTTTTTCCTTCTCCCCTCTTTCCCTCTTGAATATCAATCTCATCCAGCCAACATTGAGTAATTTCAAGCATATAAACTACACCTCCACTCAAAGACAGGTGGGGAGAAATGCAACAGTCACTGCACAACACCTATCCAACCTCCCGCACAGGGTAATCAGGCTCGGTGGTGGATGGTCCACATCTGTTCCCCTTTCGTAGTATATTGAGTAACATGTAATGCAGACATTGCCTGTTCGACTCAGGCCCGAGCCATATATACTTTCGCACATTGTTTTTTATCTCTCTAAAACATATGATTCATTGTGTCCCTCACTTCTTCACCAGTAAACAGCACCTGACTTGTTGCAGCCCACCCTGATGGGTACAATAATTATATGAAGGGAAACAAAGAGCAAGAACAGAATGATGAGGAGGAGAAGACTTGGCCACCTATCCAACCTCCCACCCAGCCTAACAAGGCTCGGTGGTGGAGGGTTCTGCATCTGCTTCACTTGAAGGTGTTTGGAGCGCAAAACATGTAATGCAGACCCCGCCTGTTCAACTCAGGCCCAAGCCATTCCCGGTTGGAAATTTTCCTTTTTCCCTTCTCCTCTTTCCCCTTTGAATATCAATTTTATCCAGCTGGCTATCAAATAACTTCAAGCCTATCAATTACACCTCTGCCCAAAAGACTGTGAGAATAAATGCAACAGCTCTACAGAATTGCAGGGTTTAAAAAGTCATCCACCTATTCAACCTCCAATACAGGAAAACAAGGCTCGATGGTGGACGGTCCACATCTGCTTTCCTTGCAGGGGCGGATAAAATGTATAATGCAGACCCAGCCTGTTCGACTCAGGCCTGAGCCATTTGTAGTGATGAAATCAGATTCTTTCTCTCTGTAACACATCATTCATTGTGTCCCTCGCTTCTTTACCAACACCAAATTCATTGTAGCCCAGCCTGATAGATAGAGAATTATGAAGAAACTGATGAAGGGAAACAAAGAGCAAGAACAGAATTCATTTCATCATCTGATACAAAATAATGAGGATGAGGAGAAGACTTGCCCATCTATCCAACCTCCTGCACAGGCCAACAATGGCTCGGTAGCGGACAATCCACATCTGCTTTCATTTTTCTCTCTTTCTTTTCAAACAAATTATTCATGGTGTTCCTTGCTTCTTGACTAGTAGGATGACCTGTTGCAGTGAAGGTTGAAGCGGGTATGAGGTGGATAAAAGGGAAGCAAAGAGTAAACAGCGATCATCTCACCATCATATAAATTGGCAACAAAATTTGGCAGCCTATCCAACACCTTCACAAGCCAACAAGGCTCGATAGTGGACGGTTCCTCATCTGCTTCACTTTATTATGTCTGGAGGCCAAATTAATGCAGATCCCGCCTGTTCTACTCAGGCCTGAGCCATTCGATGTCCTGCATTTTTTCCGTTTCCCTCTTTCCCCTTTGAATATCAATCTCATCCAGCTAACATCATCAAGTAACTTCAAGCGTATGAATTGCACCTGCACTCAAAACACACATGAGGAGAAATGGGACTGCCACTGACTGCACAATTGCAGGGCTTCAAAAAGATACCCATTTAGTGATCCTGACATCCTGTGGTGTACAATAAAAGTCAAGGCTACACATCTGATTGGCAAAATATATGAGTGACAACAATGTCTGACAACACTCCTGGAATCACAGTCTCAGAACTCTGAAAACTCATCCACCCATTGACCCTTCTTTACAGGGCAATAAGGCTCAGTAGCGGACGGTCCGCATCTGCTTCAACTGCTCATCTGCATTTAAATTTAACGCAGACCCGCCTGTTCGACTCAGGCCCGAGCCATAACTCTTGACGCTTCAATATCTTTTTTTTCTGATTCGGTTCATCGTGCAGTTTTTAAGGATGTCAGGCATAAATTCACCTCGAACTCAACACCAATATGTAGTATGGAGGGAGCAAGTCTGAATCTCCGCTCAAATAAAATAAAATGGTTCAGAGGAAATGTAACAGCCACTGCACAATTGCAGGGCTTTAAAAGTCACTGGCCTCTTGAACCTTGTCTACAGGGCAACAAGGCTCGGTGGTGGACGGTTCCACCTCTGCCTCACCTTGGGTCAGCGAAATCTACAATGCAGACCCCACCTGTTCAACTCAGGTCTGAGCCATAAAGTTGAAGGCCGGGTTTGTTTTTGCCCTTCTTTCAATTCCTTCTTGTTTTAAACACATATTGTACACAGGTGAGTACA